TTGTTGGGGGGTGGCTGGGCAGAGGGGCTGAGCTCTGCCCCCCAAGTTTGGGGTTGGGGAGGGAGTCTGGGGGACTCTGGATCAGCCCCAGTGCGGGGACCCGTCTCTAATTCACGCTGTGTCCTCCCCGTCACCATATAACCCGCGGGTCCTGGGAGGCTTTGTCTGCACCCGCGGGTGGCCTCTGCCAGGCTGGCGGCGAAAGGATGCTCCAAGGCATGGTGGGATGTGCCTTGGTGGATTTGGGGCGCCCGGTCCCAGGCTTCGGGCACGCTGCAGGGAGCAGGGCTCAAGGGCTCTCCTGCCTTTAACCTGCACCCTCAAGCTGCGGTTTGCTTTTGCCAGGTCCTTTTCCAAAGGGCAGGGGCTGCCTGGGGAGTTATCGAGATGTTTAGTACCACGAGCAGTAGCTCTTCCTCCACCACTGGCACTGCCTGGGCTCTTCCCTTGCCATGGCACAGCGCTGCCGGTCTTTCAAACGGCCCGGCGCTGGCGCTGGCGATGCTGTGCCGCGATGGGGAAGCCATCGGGTGCTGCTCTTTGTTCGGCACGGGGATGGTTGGGCCCCTGCTCCTCTCCTGAGCCTTCCCTCTCCCATATGGTGCCCATTATTAGACGTGTGCACCAGCCTCGTCTGACAAGGAGCTTTACAGGTGTCGCTCGGATAACGATTCACACTCTAACGAAGGTGGGAAAGATGATTAGCTGGCTTTCTATCAAACAGCACATGGCATCAGCTGTTCCTGGGGGTGGGGAGGTGGTGGGGGCTGCGGATGTGTAAGGACACGTACGCCGGGAGCTCTGGGAGCCCGGGCTTTGTCCTGCCTCTAATTCCAATGGACTCTCGAGCACCTCTTTGTGTGCCTTAGTTTCCCCAGCTGTAACAGATAGATGTTGTTATTGCTTCTCCTTGTAAAACACCCTTTGAGCAGCTGATTGAGCTCCTGCATTAGCAAGAGGTGATTTAGGCAGGTCTCTCGGCAGCTGGGCTGCCATGGGAGAGGGCAAGAGAGCTGTCAGAGTCAGGGCTCTCAGGGGACAAGGCTGGTGGGTGTGTTTGGGGGGGAAACATGAATTAAATGAACCCCCTTGGAAGTGGGGATGCGGTGTGGTGCGTCTGGAGCGTGTCCTGCAGGCTGCGAGAGCCCCGCGGCGTGGGGAAGGGGTCCCTGGTGCCAGTGTGGCACAGGCAGGCGGGCAGGGCTTGCTCTACGCAGATGTGTCCGTGCCCTCCCCTGCCTGCATCGTGTTGGTGGGGCCTTGGGCTTTTCTTGCTGATGTATTTTAAATAAAGACTTGTTTAGCAGGCGGGTCCCCAGCATCCCTGAGCCTGACACGCACACACACACCCCCCATGCATCCAACCCCTGCGAGCTGGCAGAATTTCTTCTCCAGCTCTTTCCACATCTTGAATGTTGTTGGAGAGAGAGACAAAATAGGAAAATGAGAAGAAAATGAGAATAAAATGAGCTTTTCTCAGCTGTCTTTTGCTCCTGCACAGGGAAAGTGGTGCTGTCTCGCGGTACATCTCCCCGCATCAGGCTGCGATCTGAGGGTGAGCCCTGCTTTGAAAAGCGATGGAGCAGAGAGCTCCCCGCAAGGCTGGGGAAACTGAGGCACGAGTGGCATCTGGCACCCAAACCACCCTTGAAGCAGAAGAGGTGTGAAGGTGGGGTGCTCACCCGAGCTCCTCGTGCCCCGCTGGGGTGCGATCATCACCCAGCCACCGCCACGACCCGCCTGTCCCGGGACGGGCCCCCGGAGCTGCAGGCAGAGCCGTCGCTGCCTCTCCCCGAGCTAGGAGGGCCGGCGGGATTATCTGCTTAGCTGCACCATCTGTTCGCCAAACTGCCATCATTATGTTCAACTTGGGAAGAAAACGGCCCCTACAGAGAAGCAATTTGTTCGCTGACTAAACCTTTCAGGCTCTCGCCGTCCGAACCTACCCTCGCCGCTGCATGGGCGAGCTCTCCGCTCGCGCCTGGCTCGCTTAAACAATCTGCGGGGAGAGTGGCGGCGCGCAAGCTGGTCGCGCTGGTAAATGGGAGCGGGGAGGGCGCAGGGCTCCCCTAATCCGATTACAAAACATAACAGCCTTTCAGAGGGGCCAGGGGGCCGGGCGAGGGGAGGAGGAGGGAGGTCCATTTCACACCCGACCCCTACGTCTGGGGGTCTCGCAATGATCTCACTGGAGGGGCTTTTCTTCCCGTCGCAGTGGGTTGCTTTTGAAACGTGCTGCAAGGAGATCAAAAAGGGGAAAGCGGCTGCCTGGGAAAGAGGAGGAGAGGGCTGGGAAGGAGGTGTGAGGTGGGAGGGGGTGGCGCAGGGCTGGGGGGTGATGACTGGAGCCTGGCACCCCCTTGCTGGGGCACCAGCCCTCGTGCCGCTTCTCCCTCTCGCATCCCTCCTCTGCGATGCGGCACCGGGGAGCGGTGCATGCAGCGGTGCATGCCCAGCAAAGCTGGGCAGGTGCTGTGTGAATTCACTGGCAAATCCTGAAGCTACAAAAGATCTATGTGTTTTAATTGTTGTGTGCAAAAGTGTCCGTAAGAAATTCTTTGCTGCTTTCTGTGGAGCCTCGTACGCCCCTTCCCCGACACAGTCCCCCTCATTGCTGCCTTCTCTTCAGAGAGCAGTAGATGGGGAAACTGAGGCACAGAGCAGAGAGGGAAAGTAGCTGAGCCAAGTCTGGACACCCTGAGGTATCCCTGGAGCAAGCCAGGTCGCTCCCACAGCAAGCACCCGTAACACTTCTGCACAAAGCGGGGACAGCGGAAACCCTCCCCTGCGCCCACGGTGGCAGCAGGAACGGAGCTGCGTGGCCCATTTCCCTGTGTTTTGTCGTGGAAATTCAGTGGCACTAAAGCATTTAGCAAATGTGTTGATTTCACCAGGTTTTCTGTAATGAACAACCGAAACTGGAAAAGTTAAAGTGATGGTTTGGCTTATATCGAAGTAAGAAGTTTTGAATTTCTGCTGTGGAGCAATGCTTCAAACTCCAAATTTTCTCTAATTTGATTTAATTCCTTTTAGGAATTATAAAGAGCCCTTTAAAAGTGATGTTTTATGGTCAGCCTGCAACCAAATGATGTTTTGTTTGGGGTTTTTTTCATCTTTGTTGCAATCATTTAAAAAAATCCACGTTTCAACAGCAGCAGGTATTAAAACAAGATGGTCCCGAACGTGGCCACTTTGGCTGGGTAGCAAACCACTTACCCCAAACCTCGCTGCGGTGGCCCTGAACCCCCTGTCCCCCCTGCCTGGCATGGGGCTGTGGCCCCGTCCCCGGGGCACGGTGCTGGCAGCTGAGGACACCTGCGCCTGCGGGAACCCCACATGGCGAGCGCCGGAGTCTGGCACTGGAGGTGTGAAAGCATCTGGCAGCCGCCCCTGGGCTCGCGGGAGGGGGGTCCCCCCAGGCCTCCTCCCACCGGGGACCCCCGGCACAGTGACCATCGCCCCTCTGGGAGCCCCTCGGGGCTGCGCCCTTGCTCCAGGTGCTGCAGGACCCCCCTCGGCTTCGCTCGAGCTGCCACATTTCCAGGGTGCTCAAACCTGCTCCCAGGCTGGAGGTTTGGAGGCTGCTGCCCGCTCCTGGGGCAGGCAGGCAGGGTGAGAGCCTCTCTGCGGGGGACATGTGGAGACGGGGTGCTGGGTGCTGCCAGGGGTCCTGGAAAGCAGGGGGACCTGGGGGCTGCAACGGCCAGGGGAGCATGCCTCTCCCAACGGGGCTGAGTGCTGGGGGTCACTTTTCTGTTTTGAGGAGGGGGGCTTTTTCTTGGCCCCAGTTCCTGGTGCGAGGCGATGACTGGTAAGGGGAAGGCAGGGGTCACCCCTGCTGCTGGGGACCCCGGTGTCACCTTGGTCTTGCCCCCGGCTGCTGGCTGCTCCGGGCTGTCGCACCCTCTGGTGGCCAAGGCTCCGGGAGGGTACCCTCCTCGGGGTGGGGACGACGACGGGGATGGAGCAACCCATGAAACCCACCGCATGGGCATCAATCAGTCTTTAGGGTGAAGGGGGGTCCTGGGGGCTTTGCTTTCCTCCCTGGAAAGAAACCTGGAGGAAACTCAGCCAGCAAAGCTGGGCAGGTGCTGTGTGAATTCACTGGCAAATCCTGAAACTACAAAAGATCTATGTGTTTTAATTGTTGTGTGCAAAAGTGTCCGTAAGAAAGTCTTTGCTGCTTTCTGTGGAGCCTCGTACGCCCCTTCCCCGACACAGTCCCCCTCATTGCTGCCTTCTCTTCAGAGAGCAGTAGATGGGGAAACTGAGGCACAGAGCAGAGAGGGAAAGTAGCTGAGCCAAGTCTGGACACCCTGAGGTATCCCTGGAGCAAGCCAGGTCGCTCCCACAGCAAGCACCCGTAACACTGCAGCATGTCTTCATCCTGCAAAGGCCCGTGGGCACCCGACTGCTCCCAAAACCTTTGGGACCAGGAGCTGGCTCCCATGTGGGGACAAGCCTGGCTGTCTCCAGAGCGAGCTGCTGGGAAATTCAGGCTGCCAGAAGCTGCCCGGCACTGGCGATGCCGGCAGAGGGTTGAGCCTGGTGGTGCAGGACCTCACCGGGCGGTTGGGGTCATTAGACCAAGGTGCTGGTGCCTGGCTCCTTTCTGCTCGCCCCACGGTCACATCCTTCCTCGGCCACCTGCGCCAACACAGAGACACGGAGGGGGGCAGAAATGGGCCCTGCTCGGGGCAAATCAGGACTGGATGGGGGGACCTGGGGGGTTTTAATAAAGCTCTCTCCCACCCCAAATGCTGCTGCGGGGGGAGGGCAGGGTATCGGCAGCTGGGGAAGCAGCATCCAGCCCCTGCTGCTGCCTGAGCCCCGTAAACCCCTTTTTTACCAGCAAACCCCCAGCTTTACCTCCCAGAGGACGGTGTTTTCCAGGCACCGCGTGTCCGGGGGAGACCTCAGCCCCTTTATTTTCAGGACGGCTCCTGAGGATGCCGAAAGCCGGGCGAGGGCGTCTGAGAGCTGGGCGGCCGG